TTATTTCAATGAAAAATTAATAAACGAACACTACATTTATCGTTGAATTATTAAGCATTATTCACATTGTCGACATTTTGAATATAGCAGCAGATGATAGCTAAACTCAAAATGATCGTTCACGTCGCAATTTCTCGATATAAATTAGAAACTTGATAAATTAAGGAATTAAAATTCAAGATTTTACAAATATTTGTCTTTGGCAATGAAAAATAATAATCATTTCATCCAATTTTGATCAATTTTTTAAAGAAACCATTCGGTTAGTAAGTTTAAATTAGTTTTTTTGTTTTGTTTTACCAGCTTGAAAAAAAAAACAAATACATTTTTTTTTTTTACACTAGTCATTTATTTACTTTTTTAGTTTAAGAAGCTTATCTCTTTAAGTGATCTTTCTTTAGAAGCGACAGAGATACTAAAAATAAAAATGATTCGTCATGAAAACTAGATTAGAAAAAAATTATCAGCGCGGAAATATAAAAGATGATACTAACTTTAAAAAGTTAGATTCTTAATCTTCTCATTGTGTTTAAAAACTGAGGAAACAATATTAAACTTTTTTTTTAATCATTAAATTTTTAAACTTATGAAGTCACACTTACAAAAATCCAAAACAGACCGTTTAAGTATATTTTCTTCCTAAAACTAAAAAATAAAAATGCTTCTTGCTAAACTTGGTATGGGACATCAAATTAAATAATTAAAATTTAAGTCATTATTATTTCAAACTGTAGTTTTATTTCTAACGAGCAATTTTCTACCGACAATTTCTAAGTTCTAAGAGTTTATTGTTAAAATCTTTAAATTATGTTCACAATATGAGAAAATGTAAAAAACTAGGATTTAAAAAAAAGGTGAAACACTTGAACGACATAGAAAAGTAAAACAAATTGTGAGTATGATGAAGAGAAAATAAAAAAGACAACGCTAAAAAATAAAAATGCCAGTAGCATTGTTTTGTTTTTTTTTTCTATTATGATTGAGAACTAATCAAGACTTCTTCATCACACATACACATACTATAATCCCGTATTTCATTTTTGGCAAGATTGAATTTAAACCATAAGAAATTTATTACAGGATTATATAAAGAAAAAAATCGTTACATAATAAGTACGAAGCGTAAGAAGCGACAGAGATAATTTCAGTATTTCACAAAGTGTCCATGTCATACACCAACTTAAATAAAAATCCGATAAGAAAGCTCATTTTTATTGTTATTCTAAAAATAGTTTAAAGCGAATTATGTTTTAACTGTAAAAAAAAAAAAAAAAAAAAAAAAGTTTACCATTTTACTAAATGATAAATCTAATATAATATCCATGTTTAAGTTTTTATATGAGGGAAAGAAACCGAAGAAATTTGCAAAATATTTAAATTTAATCTCCGATGCTTACCTACATTAAAACAGAGTGTGTGATGTATTTTAATTTAAACAACTACTGAAAAAATATTTTCGAACATACAATATTGTAAAATAAAAAAAAAGCATTGATTTCATAATTGAATTTTAATACTTGGTTGCTTTAACAGGGTTTTGCAGTTGAGACGTTTTTCATAATTCTTCAGAAGAGTCTTTTGAAATCTTGACCCGCTCTTCCTTGTATATGACCTTCAAATCATCTTTTTAAGCTTCGCCATAAATTTTCAATTGGATCTATTAAAAATCAGCAAACTGACTAATCCACTGAAGCACGCGAGTTATTTTAGCGCTATGCTTCGAATTGTTCGCTTGTCGAAATAACTATCCAACTGTTGCAACGAACAATTTATCGGAATACTTTTTGGATGCTAATAAATTAGCATCCAAAGTATTCCGATAAATCGTTCTATTCAAGATTCTTTCAATTACTTGAAGTGTCTTTGTATCATTGAAAGGAAAACGTCTCTATATTGTCATTACCTTACTGCAGTAGTGTGCCCTCACCACTGTTGGGTACTGCGTTTTAAACTAGTCTCTTGTGTAGGTCATTAATAATTGTTATTCTAGTCACCTATGTGACAGCTGTTCTTAAATAATCTTGGATAATCTTTCCAATTACACGTAGATCAACTTTGGATTTTCTAAACATTTTCCGATCTGCTAGTGAAGCTTTCCGTAGAGCGCCAGTTCTAGGAAGTTTTTTGGCGGTGCTAAACAGCTTTCATTTCAGAAGGATCGAGCTAAATGGTACTAACTGGCAATAGCTCTGTAACTCAAACGTTCACTATAGAAATAGTGAATGATGGCTGTGATCATTACAACCTTGCAGGTCCAGAAAAGATTGATAAATTTTTTTAAATATCCGAATATTTTTGCCATCGTTACTTTTCTTTTCAGCACTGTTTATTTTTTAAAATTTCTAATTTTAAATTAAAAAAAATAAAGGAAATGTAATTGCACTACCAGTAAAAAAAATAAAATGTAAACATTTAATTTTTTGCAAGTGACTTTCTTTATCTGAACACTCTAAACCGCATTGGCCACAAAACAGTAAAAAATTTTTAACCAAAAACTAAAGAACATTGACAATCTTAAAATATTTAAAGATTTTTAACACGAATGATTCGGGTTTTTATGTGAATGTTAGGCTTGGGAGCAACAAAGCTTATTGATTTTTTTTCTATGACTCAACGAAGATTAGGAATGTTTTTTTTATCAAGTGATGTTTAGGAATCCAAGTAAAACAAACTTTCAATTTTCTAAAATTATTATTTTACAACTAATTCGTGTAGCAAGTATTTACTTTCATTTCCATAAATTTTATCAGAGGTGTGTGTGTATATATATAGTGGACTATCCTGTCGTACGAGGGTCAAGCAGCTTCAATTCCTAGGAACCGACAGCCAGACACCAACACATATGATTTGATTATACTATAGTGAAGGCTTTGTGCAGAACCAACCACGCTTTTTGAAGGGTGGAATACAGAGACCTGGTGCACTACGCGCCACAATGTCCCCAAACAACCTTCCGCAGGTTTGAATTCAGAATTGTCCTTGTATGAATCCTTTTCTCCCTCCAGCTATGGGTAATTTAGCAGGACTGTGTGTGTGTGTGTGTGTGTGTGTAATAGCTTAACTAAAAAAATGATTCTAGTTCAGTTGTGTTGGATTCAGGTTTAAAAAAAAAAAAAAAAAAAAAAAAATTTGTTGTGGTCTCCAAAGAGAAAATATGTTACCGTATTTTTGCAAAGATTAATTTTAGAAACACAATCATATTAGTTTTCATGTCAACTACTCGTGTGACAAAAATAAAAATCAGAGTATAGGAACAAGTAGGAACCAAACAGATTATTTGCTGTCAACTTAACGATGTCGAGAGTATTTCCTTCCGAGTATTTTCTCTTTCAGAATTCATACAATGACGATGACGAAGAAAAGAGTAGTGGCCCAACTCACAAAGTACTTTAAATAACTTAAGGTTGGGTCATGACGGAAATTATTTCAATCATTCAGCATCAAATTTAATAATCTCGTGTTTTTAGATATTCAGTAAAATTAAAAATCTGACAATACAATCAAACAAACCAAAAGTTTAATTTCACAACGTTTCGATCCGTTGTTCTTCAGGAAGTCGACATCTCCCCACCACGTCGCCAAATAAAAATACATTCTGGTCGGATTATCAAGGGCTAATATACAAAACAAAATCATTTTACGATTACTTTTCAATTTTTAACACTTACAGGCCTCGAAGAATTCGATTTATTGACTTATTAAAAGACAAAAAGTTGTCATGTATTAATTAATTGAATGTCTATTTTTTTAATTACAAAAATGACGTTAACAGTCGACTACTTTTATTAATTGAATCACTATATAAAAATTTAGATTCTAATAAATTTTCTTAGACTTAATTGATATCAAAAATTGTTAAAATATTTGTATTTATTAACAAACATGAATTAAAAAAAAACATTTGCTTAGTTTTAAAAACGAAATAAATTCAGTTGAATTAAAATAAAATAGTCATACATAGATGTCGTTGTCATTGACGGCAATACTTACAGTACACCAAAATAAAACTTAGACGTCTTAAATATCACAAAAATACTATTTTCTGGAAAAGGAAGGAAACTTAGAGATCTTAAGAAAGGTGAGAAATCAAAAATTAAGAAAATCAAAAGCAAGAAACGTCAACAAATTTTAAGCGAAGGGAAAAAATATTAACTTTAAAAAAAGTTTGGCCCTGGACCCAGAATTTTTCTTCCGTTTTACACAGCACAAATTATGACGAAATTGTCAAACAGTAAACACTAGAGGTTTTGTATTCACTACAACTATGAACCGATCCTTCTTTTATGAAACAGAATCACAGAAGAATTTAAACAGTTTACTATTCATTTTGATAATTTAAAATATAATATAAAACGTGCCAAAATACAACTTTTTTTAAAGTATAAAAAAATACAGTTTACAAATGATGAAGCATGGAAAATGATCATTTTTTTTTTTTTTTTTTTTTTTTACAAGCATTTTTTTTATTTTACTGTAAAGACACACAGTAATATAAGGAGTTAATTTGGCAAATTAAATAAAATATAACGACCTTCAGGAAATTTTTAAAGAGATCAGATTTACCAACAACAGCAAAAAAGGGGGAGAATGGCTGCGTGTAATTTGGGGAAGAAACAACAAAAAAAAAAAACACTGGTTTAAAAATAGAAGCGAAAGCCTTATCTTCCTAAGATATATTTTTAAATAAATAAAGTATAAACAGAAGAAACTAAAAGTTTATTTACTTATCTACAATTAATACAATCAGTAAGATCATAAAACTAACTATAAAAGACATGCATTCATGTGTAGTCGGCCGACATAACTAGAGAGACCCTAGCAACTGTTAAAAACAGGGGCGCCGGTTTTTATTGAATTTTATTCTTATTTTGATTTGCTATTGAATAAGAAATGGATTTAATAATTAATAAGTCATATGCAAGCGTAGATTAAAATGTATAATTACAGATTCGTCCTTAGGGGTTTGTTTTAACCCTAAAAAGACAGTTAATTCGACTCACCTGAAAATAGGAGGTGCCACCCTCCGCCATATTTTTGTCGTTTGCCGCAATTTAAGGTAAAAATAAAATTTCCAAAAACGTAAACAGAAAAAGATAATAAAAATAATAATAAAGCCGAAAAGCGCCTTCACTTGCGGTTGTAATCAGCCTTTTTCGTGTCAGAACGTAACAATCCGGCAGCCAGACTATTTCCTGGCATCATCATCATCATAGGCTGTCTTTTCTCCTCTTGCCCCGACGTTAGCAGTCGGCAGAGACGACGACAGCGGCACTGAGAGTTAGTAGCAGTAATTTTCTCGCGCGTGCAAGACGAGAGTTAAAAAAGATTAGAGACCGACATGAGACGGAAGCCCTGGCCTCACAGCTGACCTGGTCACGTGGTTACGGCTTAGCGAGCAAACGACCAATCAGATTGCGGCTTACTTGCGTCCCGCCTCAGCCAAAGTCGGGGGATTCCATCGAAGTTCGACTGGCCGAATTTATGACTGTTTCTCTTCTGAATCACCACCCCGAGAAAGAAAAGAAAACTTTCTTTAAAATATTTATATACTTTATTTTGCTGAAAGGCAAGCAGTAGTGTTGGATACGTGCAAAGAGAGAGTAAGAGATGCAACTTAATCTGTTGATATATCCTCATTTTTGCCCCCACTGTGCTCGAAGAGAAGACTCGGGCCCATCCCATTCGTAGTTTTTTTTTTTTAATAATAGACTTAAAAAAACTGAAAGATAAGACCACTTTTCTGATGAGTATAATTATTAATAAATTATTCACTTCCTCTTGCTATAAAAATTGAATTATCTTTAATGACCAGAATAAATTTTTACCTTTTTTTTTGCATTTTTCGACATCTTCAAACTCTTAAAAGAAAACCATTTTTTTTCTTACACTCGTTCTACGTTACAGCAAAAAAAAAATCTCTGCAATTATAGTGCACCCTATTGTTTTCCTTACATTTAACTGTTTTGTGTCATTTTTTTGTGAGTGTGACAAGGGCGGGGTCACTTATAAACATCAACTTCATAATGTTTTTTTTTTCGTTCATTTGTTACGAGAACCAAACACCAAATGATTTAAACTTAAAGTCCACATCCACAAACTCCCCCACTTTTTTTTCTATTTAACGAACCTCACGCCTAATCGAGTAGATTGGGAGCCCATGAGTATGTACGAAGGACAAAAATTGCTCAAATCCCTTTTGTATGTGTAATGTAATTCATTTCATCTTGTCACCATTATAATTTATACAGGCATAGGTATTTTGTTTTTAGGAAGGTAGGGACAAGTAATCAAGGTTTGGTCTTTATCTCTCACCCCCACCCCTCTCTCTCTTTATATATATATATATATATAAGAGGTGGCCACTTCTTTCCAAGTATACCTGTCTGCTAGGGTAGCTAGTCAATCCCTATTGCAGACGCCCGCTCAGGCTCATTTGTGTTTATTTAACACCCACAGAACCAGACAGTGGTTTATACTGCAATAATGCTGAGTGGGATGTTCTTAGGGTCTCTGCATAATTATCTGTCATTCCTATGGTTGACCTTTTGGTCCTGATCAAAGTTTTTGTCATCATAGAAAAACCAAAACATTCCAGGCTCTTGATGTTTCAGCTTGCTCAACAAATGCTTTGTGTGAATACGACAATTATATTTTGTCTTTGCAGACATGAATTATCACATATGCATTTCATATGACTTCTATGTCCTCATGCACAATTCTTCCAGTAGAGTTGCTTGAACCTTTGAGCTACTTAGCAAAAGAGTTAATTGATTTTCTGTGGTTCTTATCAATAATTTTTTGCACTTTTCATTCAAATTCGGATGTTCTTATGGTATTAGGATGTTTAGCAGGCATTTTACATTTGGTTACTTTGTCCTGGATATGACGATAAACCTCATCCAGCAGCAAGGCCTCTGATCAGGAGACTGGAAGTTTTGAAGAGTGTGGAACCACCTCTTAACTGTTTCTGTTCTCAGGTCAACCCTGACCTGGGGGTAGCATCTGTTATGGTTCCAGCTATAGGCAAATAGTGAAGCCCCCAAACAAAAATTAACAGTACATTTTTATAGTAAAATTACCAACAATACATTTTATGATCTACAAAATATATATCTAAAAAATATACCTTTACTCTGAAAGTATAAAATCATGTACAAAATATTTGTTGATAAAAGCACAGAATTAGATACAAAATATTTAGATTTCGGCATTAAATAACCCATAGAGGTTGATATGCCACCAAACAAAATCAACCAACATTTGCTTAGTGCTGTAGAATATCCATCAGCGACTTCCAGCTCTTTTAGAGCTTTGACAACAAATGACCATGCAAATTTGAGGAAGTGAGCAATCTCTAAACCACTATGATCTGCTTTTAAGGCAATGATTACAACATACCTTTTCATTTGCTGATTTAGCTTAATGTTTGTCATCATTTATCTTTAAAAGAAATGATAATCAGAAAAAGAGCTATCAAAAGACATGACCTCAAAGAAATGAGCAACTTTGTGCATATATATATATATATATATATACAGGGTCCCTCCCACCAAAAAAAATTGACATCATTTTAAATGTGACTATCTGAGTAAACACATGTCCCAGGCAAATTAAATAGGCTTAATGTTGAACAATAAAAAATTTATTTAACAAAATTTGAATAGGATATTCAAAGGAATGTAGATTCTATAACCAGTTTCACAAAGCTTCACAAATGTTCAATAAGTGTGACACAACACACATTGTCCGTAGTCCAGCTCCTGCCAAACATGCCATAGCATATCTTGTGCAACATTCTCCAGCGTCTCAGGGATTCTCTGTTTAAGTTTCTCTAGGCTGTCCTTTCACATAGCCCCATAAAAAAAATCACATTGTCAAGTCAAGTGAACGTGGTGGCCATTTCAACAGCACATTGTCATTACCACTGGTAAATTCTCATTGGGATAAGTTCACACAGTCAACTTAGCTTTTACACATTTTTTAAAAATTTGAGTAAGAATCAGCTATGCTATTAGACTATCAGACTACAAAAGGATGTCAATTTGGGGTGGGGGGCACCTTGTGTGTGTGTGTGTTTATATATATATATATATATATATATATATATATATATATATATACTAGCCGAGGTACCCAGACATGGCTGCAATTGTATACCCACACCCCTCCGGTCTAGAAATGTCTGCCTGCGTCCCCACTTGCATGTATCATCCATTGGTATACTAAGCTACTCTCCCCATCATCTTTTTTATGCTATGTCCTTTGCAAGTGTTTGATTGTTCTTAAAGGAATTCCATCGATAAAACTTTCTTGTGTCAATGTTGCTCAGTGTTAAATTGTTTCAATGTTTTAGATATTCAGTAAATTTCCCATGGCCATAATTTTCAAATAGTATGGCATTGTTCACAAATCTAATAATCAAACAAAAACAGAGATGAAGCATCAGCTTTTTATTCAATTACAAGTGCAAACACATCTATGCCCCCCCCCTCCTTCTTACTGAAAAGCTGGGGTTAATAAGAGGTTCTTCATGAATTCTTCCCTTTTAACACTTCAGTAATCCTTCTCAAACAATCTTTGCATCAAAGGTTGTTTGAATGCCATTTTAGGATGGAATCATATAAAGAAACTATTGTCTAAATGGCAAAAGATGATTTTGCACCTAGTTTGTCACAGATTTCATCCATGTAACTGAAATAATTTCAACCAAACATTCACACAAGATGATTTGTGTGTTATATATAATTTACATGGCAAATTTGGAAAGCATTGGATGAAATCCAGGGAGTTATGGCTGAAAAACAGGCTTTTTGAACAGTTTTTCATGGTTTTTCATTATACGCAGAGAAGTGAGCAGGACTAAAACCACACTAACTTATTTCTTGCATGATGATAAATTTTTGTGACATGTTTGAAGAAAATTGGATAAAAAATGAAGTTATTCAAGTTTTTATTATAAGTAGTATGAAAAAACTGATTTTTTCACAGTTTTTTAAAAAATTTTATATGAAGCCAATGTCTCAGGAAAGCTATCAAGCACTCTACATAAACCTTGTAACATGTGCTGTTTTGCATTAAGTGCAAAGAACATTAGGTCATCTAGTAAAAATTTTGTTCGCTTGTAACTTTGCCTTGGTTTTTACAAAAAGTCATACCCACCTTCCATTATATTGATTTTTCTGCCAAACCAAGGGGATCTGGCGATTAAAAAGTTGGTATTGACCTAATATGGTAAATTTGCAATATGTGTGTACAATTTCATCAAAATTGATCTAGAAATGTGAACATGCATAAATAGCATACACACACACAGATATACACACAGACATCTTCTGTTATATATATATATATATATATGTAACTTTTTGCTTATTCTCTTATCCAGTCATCTTCAGGTAAAAAGAATTGTTACAAATATGTTGTTCAGATTAATTATTTCAGTAGGAGATTAATAAGCCTTGTACTTGATGTCACTGGGTGGTATTGTCAGAAGATTGTTGAATGTTTCTGGATCATGAAAAATCTTATCTAGAATCATATTAACTGCTTTTTACCCTGTATCCCAGTTGCTGTTTAATAAAAATAATCAAAAAATGAAATCTGGTCATAAAATTTTTTGTGATTATCCCTTTCAGATCAAACACAGTTATTGTGAACTCACTGATCCTTTCATTGGCTGTATATAGTGTTTGGGCATTGCCAGTGCTACATATTGTTTTGAATTCAAAGTATTTCCTTCTTCTAAACTCACTGCCAACCATGACTAGAGAGATCCATCTGCCCTGTTATTTAACCTGTAGCTGGAGAGAATCAATGAATTCATACCTTTCCAAAAGGTATCTGTTCAGAAGTGAAGGTTTGCTATGTTCACTCAAGCAAAATTTGAATTTAGCTTGCTGATTTTTTATTCAGAGCTGTTAACGAGTTACAACACCTCCACAACCTCAATTTTTTGATTTCCACATTTGGGTTGTCCTACAAACTACATCTGACAGTAAAGCCTCTGATCAGGAGAGTGGTGGTTTTAAGA